GGAGAGCTGTTCTACATTTGACTTGGCTTAAAGTAGATCCACCTGCCACTGACTAATAGAAACTCCTTATCATGTACAGGTTGTATCGAAAAAGCTATTTTTTTTTCTCAGAATTCATTCTCCTGGAATGAACATTATTCTGAACTTGTCATTGACATTGCCTCTGAGAGCATGTTCAATCAGCAAGAACACATTTGTTTTTGTTGTTGTTTAATAAGAGACTGTATAGCATGTTACAGAACAGCTTCTTGTAGCTCTGGAAGGCAGAACAACAGTCCTTATCGTCTCACTTTTGTGTAAATTAAGCTGGAAAACATTCAGGTTGTAGGGATCTTCAGTGTAAGATTTGATAACAGCCTTAGCTTTCTCTGTGTTCTACAACAGGGTAGTGCAGCATACAATAAAAGGCACAAAGCTACCAATCATGATATGATTCAACAAAGTTGGCAAAAATAAAAGGCTTTTTAAAAGAAACTGCAGTATTGGTTAAGTCAGAGTGAATCTGTTGAAATACAAACCTTGGTATTTTTTATTTTACTTTGATAAAATAGAGAGATATATCTTTCAAAAAGCAGCATCCTGTGTAAACCAAGATTTAAACTTAACATTATTCCTAGTCATGCAGGAAGTCCAGAAGAAAAAGAACTATGGATAATCAGTTAAAAGAACTGACAGATACCCTGATGTGTTGATCAGTAGTAATACCTAATTTCTATTTCAAGTGTGCTATAATGGATTACCATATAGATACAGCAAAGCACTAAGCATTAAATAGATCTATGTGTTTTCTGAAAAAGCAATATTATTTCGCACTGTGGGGTTTCTTAAAATATTTCTTATTAGTGTGCTGTGAAACTAGAAACGAGATGTCAATAGCCAGTTTGGATTCACAGCAGTATTGCTAAAAGTCTAGGCTGGAGTGGAAGAAACTATCATTTGTTTTATAGGAATAGCAATATGAGTTTTTTAGAACACCACGGTTTGGGAGAGTGTAGAAAATGTTCTTGGAAATGCTAAGTTGAGAGGACAACAACTGGAGCTTGTTCATGACTTATGGTGTTACAGTGTGATGTAAGATTGCATATCAGTCTGGGGACTCGAATGCACACATGCAAAAATTACTATTAAAAGGCTTTTTAGCCATAACTTTGAATTAACTTGTAACATTCAGAAGTTTTTATTTAATAGTGTAGACTTTTAACCATGATAACTTATTTTTGCATTGCAGGAGCGAATGTGGACTCTGAATTTAGATTATTCATTCTAATCTGCTGCAAAGCTTTCATATCTTCAGTAGGTAGCTGTGATGCTAGCAGTCTAACTTGTTGGGGGTTTTTTTAAATGACTTCTGTTTACTGTTTGGTAGTACTATGCAGGTGATTAATCACATCTTTGCATTTTTTCAAAGTGCATCCATATATATATATTTTTTTTTTCCTGGTTTTGAGATGCTGAAAAGGAGAACGGCATGAGAAATGTCTTAACTGTCTCAATTTTTGCTATATGAAAAGATTTTGGGATATGGAAGCTTACCTCAGAGAGGAAGTTCTGTCCTCTTACTATTTATTTCAACCCTTGAATTGTTTGGATTCAGTCACCTGACAAGGGTGTTTGGTTCTGTGTTTTTTAAAGAAAAAAAATGCAAGTGTGTTCTTTTCTTCCTCAACCCTCCCAGCTTCATGCAATTTAAAGTTTAAGCTTGCTTTTCCTGGTGGGTGTTGTACTCTGCAACAGCATTTGTTTTCCAGGTTTCCTCTGGGCATAACCTAAAATTCACTAACACTTGGATGCGAGAGTTGTTATTAAGTTCATTTTCAAAATGGGTCTTTATTATGCAGCTTTGCCACCATATCAGCTTACTCAGCTTACACCTTACCATAGTTCACTTTCTGGAAGTGAACTTTGTGTTCAAGTTTAGGTGAAATTGTGTAACATATAAGGTACTGCCTTTACTGCGTGCCATCGTGCCTCTGGCCTTTCCCAAATAACGGTTAACGTGCTTTGCATCTTGCAGAGGGGGCGTAGTAAAACCCAGCTTCCTTCAATGTGCTATTGTGTTTTGAAACAGCCAGCAAGCGGCGGTTATTTATTTTGATCCTGAATCAGTTGCGATGTGTAAACTATAAAATTATTTTAAGAACATTGCTGAAGCTCTTGGGAAATATGTGTTGTTTCTTTTGGCAACTAAGAAAAATTTATTTGTACATCATCAGATTACTTTCACAAACATTCATAATACATGAGTATGCAATGCCTGGTGTTTAAATACACATCAGACATTTAGTGAAGTAGACATGTATTTTCTAAATATAATTTTTGTTTACAATAAAGAATTTTACTGTAACATCTGAAATATACCAACATACGCATTTTCACTGGTAGTATTACCAGATTTTTGACGAATTTCTAATAAAACATACTGATACAGAAGTGGTGCTTGATTTTTTGGAAGTTTAATACAATTGGTTCTCAAAAGTTAGTGTTTTGAAACAAATGAGAGAGAAGTTACATCCAGAGACAAGCTGAAAGTATCTTATTAGTGTGGCCTGTGAAAGGAAATTGGTTTTGCTCTAACGATCTACTGTACTACTTATGACGACTTAAACAATGGAAAAAAAAATGTGTTTTTGTCTGGTTTTCCATAATAAACATGAAGACGTTTGAAGGTTCATCCCTGCAGTGTATTCTGATACTTGAATCCAGACCGTTTTTTGTTGCCAGTTTGTCTTTGGGTTTTGTTTAATGGAGCCTTTCCTCATGCGCTTTGGGCATGTGGTGTGTGATCGGTCTAATGTGTGCCTGGATACAGACCAAACTCTGCATGCAGAGTGCCACCGCTCTTGCAGTGCCTTGAAGTATTCATGATTTAGATTAGAAGCTCCTTTCTGCCCTGTGCCAAGTTAGATAAAGATTAATGTCAGAAATAGTCGTGAAAAGTGGTGGGCTGATAGTATTTTACTATTTATATGGATAATGATAATTCTTTGTCTATGGATCCTGCAATCTGATTGGCAGAAACGTGGTCCTTAACTAACAGGTAAAGCCCAAATGTGAATCATGGCCTCATGTTTAGCCAGTCAGATCCTTCATCCCAAGCGCATTCCTCCTGCCCATGGACAGGGAGCTAGACCTCTGGCCACCAGCCTCCCGCTCCTTCAGGCCCTGCTGCCACGGTGTCCTGGGGAGGGAGCTGTGGGAATAACACTGAAACAAAATACAATGAGAACATACCAGGGATGTGCCCGATTTATATTTTTGTTCTAGGTAAACGTTTAGAAATGCCAAATGCTATTTGGGGAGCATGTGCTATGGTAAAGATGTGAAGGAGGACCAGTCTGTTTGTGTGACCTGAGGTCTAGCTCCCCAAGTCTATGAACTTGTCGTGACTTCCATCTTCTGCCATGGAGAAAGGAATGTTCCATTTTTGAAAAGACTCTATTATGAGTGCTATATATAATTTCTGAAGCACTTTGTTGTCAAAAATAAAAAAGTCTGTCTTATTCCATCTCTCGAGCATACTGTTTTTAACAGCAATAATGATTCATGTGTTGGCCGTCTCTGAAGGATTGCCTAAAATGCCAATTCTTGCTTTCTTGGCTGTGACACTTTATTTCCTCTTGTGAGCTTGTATGCGCAAAAGACCAACAAATGGGTCACCGTTGCTTAAATGACTTGTCATTCGTTTTGCATCCTGCATGTAGTATTTCTGAAAACTTAATGGCGCTTTGTTGTGCAGAAGTTTGTTCCAGTGATTTTGTTTGATAATTACAAGGAACTCTGTTAGTCATTTATAACATTGTTTAATTTAATTTTAGTTCCAAAAGTAGATGTCAAAAGTAGTTTCCCATTTAAATGTATCTTCTTAATTTCATATTTCAATGGCTGAAAAGTTGTAAGATCCAGACACATTTTTCTGTGAAATCTATGTGAAACCATGTTTGTTCTCTCACTTTTTTTGAGAGGCTGAACAGCAGTATGATAGCTATCCTGTACTACTAATACACCTACTTGCCAAGCCCTAGTCTATACTGCTAATAGTTTAAAAAAGAGAAAAAAAGGATAAAAAAAAAAGGTGTCTCGGAGCCTGTTAACTTAAAGTCCTTTTAAAAGCCATATTTACCCAAGAAAGACCCCCAGATAGTTTTGATTTATCCAGATTATTTGATAGCATTACCATCCACTAAACTGACAAACAACAACATTTGGTAGCTCCAACCGTTCTTTGCAACTAAGATTATAAGACTCCATTCAGGAAAGCACTTAAGCATATGCTTAAATTGCTTTGCTTTGTTGGTGCCCTGTAGCGTAACAAAACTAAGGGGGAATGGGTTTGACCACAGCCTCTTTCTTTGTTTGATCTGCCTCTGTTAGGATCAGTCCAAAGCTACACAGGCAGACTGCTGTATATTATTCCACATAAGTGCTTTATTAACCGCATGTGCTGTGAATTAAATTAGTCTAGCTTTGTGTAATTTGGTTTCACTTACCAACTGAAAACACAGGTGAATCATCTCACAGTAAAAATAACTGCACCGCTGTTCATCTCTGCCTTAGCTGGGAGATCAGACCCCATTAGTTGATAAAAAGACAGACCTAAGCCACAGAAGCTCAAAATCTGGACTGTATCAATCTAACAGTAGTCATTACCAGACACTTCAGAAAAATGTAACCCAAAGTGAGCTTCTTAGAAATCTGTAACTTCTTCATTAGAAATCAGTTTATATTCTGGAATACTAGGGGTTTGCAAGACAGTGGGAAAGGGGAAAGTGGTTCATGGCAGTGTCATGGTATTTATTCAGGACCATTCCAAGTATCTTTCTCCGTAACAAGGGAGTAGAGTAACGGGCAGGAGTCCTTACTATGATAGGTATTTGCTTTCTATTGTGTTCTCTATGTATACATTACCATTTCATTTATGTCTTGTGTATTAGTTTCTCTGTATCCTCTGAATGAGCCAGTTTATTACGGAAAATTTGACTATTTAGTTTTGTTTCCTGCAGAAAATATTGCAGCTACTACCTGAGAGGATTTTTTATCGATGGCATTTTCGCAGTATAGGTAAGAAGGAATGGTTTAAAAACATTCTAGTACAAATAAAAATCAATGTTTTCTGTAGTCACTTCCCTGGTTCTGCAAGTCCTGTTAACCACAGAATCCCTTAGTATTGCCCATACACAAATAGTACTTACATACGAGACTTGCAGCTGAAAATTCTTGAAGCGTACGGAAAATCTTTTTACCAGCTATAACTGTGTGCCGCTTGTTTTGTGTGGTTTTGGTTGCCTGCTTCATTTTTATTTTGCACGAATGCTCTTTAAATTTTTGTATTCTTGAATTTACCTGGGTTTTCTTCCCTTTCTTCTCTTTCATGTGCTAGAAGCTATCAAGGTAATGGGGGTTATAAACCAACACACCTTTTTCTAATTAGGTCTCCCTTTGCATTCACAGCCTAACACCAAAAATTAAGATTGAGGAGGGTTGTGGAATCTGTATGTGACTCTGCAAATTTGCATTATGGTAATTTTTTGCAAGTGATCATATGTGAGCTGCCCATACAAATTCATACATATTGCTCTTTGCCTAAGGATTGATACTGTGTTGAACTTGACCCTTGACTCCTCCTGGAAATCTATTCTGTAAAACTTATGCTGTGAATAGGCGGCTGTTTGGTAGTTGAGCACAGGCTGTGCTAAACTAAATGCAAAGCATTGGACTGCTGCAGTGAACAGGAGCTTAATTTCTTCTCTGATATTCCTGTATTCTCTGTGCAGTTTAGTTCGTTAATATTTGTGAAACACTCAGTTGTCACAGTATTTGTGGGAATTAGATGAGGAATTTCTGGTGTAGAGCTGGGATAGTGAAGGAAAGAGATTCAGGACAAAAATATAAACTTTTTAGTAGCTCTTTTTGATCAGTTTTTCTTTTAATGAGTGGTCCACATTTTTACTGGCCTTTATAAGTGGAATTATGAACACACGGTCTTTCTGCAAGTTTGGCCACAGCTGTCTTTCACTGATTCTCATATAATGGAGGATTTGCCAAGCATTAACGTTAGACTACAACATTGGCCGTGACAGACACAAGATACCTATGGGTGGCATTCACTTGGCCAAACCGAGAGACTATCCGTTCTTTCCCCACGCTCCTACGGTATTTACTGTACATATTCTGGCTTCTGGAGCAAGGGAAGGAATAGGAGGAGTCCGGCGGGGAGAAGACTTGGAGTTAGTAAAGCTCTGCTTTTTTTTTTCTTAGTCTTTTGTCCGTTCTGCATGCTTTGTGGGGCAGGTGTTCTGCAGAAAAAAGACTTCATAAGCATAGAACTGAAGATTGTATTGCAATACATGCATAAAAAAGAACAAAATAAAGTTGCCAACTTAGTTAAGGCACGCACTTGGAGTGCTTGGCTTAAAGCACTTAATGTTCTTCCGCTATAGTTGTTTCCTCTTAAGCATAAAGATAATAGATATCTAACAGGCTTGGTTTAGTCACTCACGAACTTTAGAAATCTAAATAAGAAAAGCAGGATTAATTCTTCTGAACAACTATGACTTTTTTAGAAGTTTTCATATAGTTCATGTAGGACTTTCAATTAGATTTTAAAATTAGTTTTGAACATTAATGATATGGGGAAAAAAAAGTTTTATTGTCTTTAGTTTGAAGATAGTTAACTTTTTAATGATTTAAATATTCCCTGTGGCCTACAGTGCTTGTATAGTGAATGTTTTGACCTTGTGATCATGTACAGGAGCCAGAAAGCAAAATTTATTCCTGTTCATGTAGGACTTTCAATTAGATTTTAAAATTAGTTTTGAACATTAATGATATGGGGAAAAAAAAGTTTTATTGTCTTTAGTTTGAAGATAGTTAACTTTTTAATGATTTAAATATTCCCTGTGGCCTACAGTGCTTGTATAGTGAATGTTTTGACCTTGTGATCATGTACAGGAGCCAGAAAGCAAAATGTATTCCTCTCCTCATTTGATCAGATTGAATAAAGCTAGAGTCAAATGGGCACAGAAATATTGGAAGGTGAAATACATTTATTTTTATAGTCAAAGCACCTGGAAATCCAATGAAGTAGTTTAACTTTATAATTTCCTCTAAATTAAACATCTTTGATTCATCACTACTTTGAAAATTCTGCTTCTGAATGCTACCAAAGTGGTTGCAACATTTTGTTTTGCTGTTTGTTAAAGTAAATTTTATGCTGCTTTGGGGGGGTTGTATTTTTCTAAGTAGTACTTTGTTGTTGTTGTTTGGTTTGGTTTCCAGCACTATTTCTTCAGCTGCCATGTTTTTCATCAGAACAATGAATTTGCTGTTGCAGAGGAAATAATGAGTGGAAGTTAAGGGTCAAGGAAAGGGCTGTTGTCACATTTCCAGTTAGCACTGACAAAAATAAAAGGAGACATCTGCTTGATCACTTTACTACCATTTCATCTGAATTAGTCCAGAACAAATTATTTTTAGTCACTTGTTTTATAGCTAATATACTCTTTATATTTATGCTTCTCTTGAATAGTCATATTTGGATAGTTTTTTAGCTGTGTCCACTAAATAAGATACAAAATTTGGCAGTGCAGTTATTTACAGTTGTACCTTGTGATTTGCTTTTTGCTTAATGTTCACATGCATTAATATGTATATATTAAAATTTTCCATTTAATACTGTGAAATGGTGAGATCTGGAGGGAAGGATCACATTTAAGGAATGTACATAATTCACAAATCCAGGAGAAGCAACAGCTGAGTGCTACATCATATTATTTTTCTCAGAATTGGATTAAAAACATTTTTTAACTGAAGCATGTGATGTATACTCTCTCTGATTTTTAGGTCAGACATTTGAAGTTAAGGGCAGTTAGCCTGGTATTTCTAAAGCCAGAATCGAAATATTTTGCCATTTTAATAGTTGTGTTTTATAGACATGAATGTAGTATAGATTGCTAGCATCTTTTTCTTAGCATTAAATTAATCAATATTAGTGTATTTGAATGCATTAATCCTACAAGTTGGACTTCCTGATTTCTCCAAATCTAGTAAGTCAAAATTTCCCCTAGATATCTTATTTTTAATGAAAATAACTTGAGAAATTGTCATCTGACTAAAACCAAAGTACCTCACTGTAAAGATACATTATATTTAATCTTATAACACTGATGATGATGATGATTGTAATTAGATTCACTTTGGGTTTTTTTACCCCATAGTTTTCTTTTTCTTAAACACCAGCGCAGGTAGCCACATAGCAAATGGCATTAAACTAGCCTTTTCTGTAGTATTTTTTTAAAGAACATTCTAGTGGAAAGTGACCATCTTAGTATCTGATACGTGCCTATTTAATTTTTCTATTCCAGGGTCGATTCTGAAGAAACTTTTGCACACTGGAAATTCTCTCAGGGTATATCTCTTTGATGTATTCATACTTCTTTTAACTTTAATTCATATGAAGCATATTATTTTACAATTTTCCAATATCAGTGGTTTTAGATTGTTAGGGTTTGTAATTTTACATTCACCTTTTAATCATAGATTTTATTATTTTAATCCTAGATTATTTTAATATTTATCTTCAGTCATTTTGCTGTTCTAATGACCTTTGTAAAGTTACCTGGAGAAGGTATCAATATATTTTGCTTAATACTTTATTTTTTCATGTCTCTCTAGCATTAAGTATACTGTAATAGAAGTATTGCTTTCTTGTTTGCCAGAGTTTTAAATCCATTTTTCTTTTTCTAAATATATTGCCGAAATTAAAATTGTATCTTGTTAATAAAACCAAAAAAGAAAATAAACTTAGTAAACTTACTGAATACTCTACCTTGAGTGGTTTTGTTGCATCTTAGTTTTCACGAGCATCTTTTGATCTCAGTGATGTTGAGGACAATAGCTTGCTTTGACCTCTGTGGGGCCAAGATTTCAGACTTACAAGGGCACGAAGTGATGGCAGCTCCCCGGTTGTGCGTTACACGTGCTGTTGTACTTCCAGAGCCCCTTTTAAGATTGAGTCTTGAGACTAGCCAAGATGCATTTGGCCCCAGGAACTGCGGGAGTGGAACTAGAACTTTTTGGCCTCTGACTGAAGTTGGAGTGGTAATGCTGCCTCCTTGGAGTGCCACCACCTTGGGTACAGTTTGCTCCCGCCCTTCTCTGCTCATGATTAAATTAATAATGTGATTACTCTTGGTATGATGGAAAGACTTACTAGCATATAGCTGGGGCGAAAGTACTTGTCGTGCATTTTCTTAACTATTTAACTGTGTTACTGTACTTACAAGTTTGTTTTAATATCTTTTTCTACAAAATCATCCCCTTGTAGATAAGATGTGAAGGAATCCGACTGTTTCTTCTCTGGCTTCAAGCGCTTCAGACTAACTGTGCAGAAGAGCAGATATTAATATTTGCATGCCTTGTGCCTGGCTTTCCACCCATTATGTCCTCACGAGGTCCCTGTACACTAGATAACCTCATTAGTCCTCCTAATTCGCCAGATGGTGAGTAAATGAACAGAATTTCCATGAGGGGTGTATTGCCTCCCCCTTCCACTGAGGTCGTTGTGGAGCTGTAGAGTTTCTTGTGGGGAAGATGTCACATGGCTGATACTATTTGTCTTTATAATTCAGAGATGTATTGAATTTGTCAAGCTATTGTATTTGTTGCAGCTGTATAGCCTTCTGATCTTATCATAGAATCATAGAATAGTTTGGGTTGGAAGGGACCTCTAAAGGTCATCTAGTCCAACCCCCCTGCCATGGGCAGGGACATCTTCAACTAGATCAGGTTGCTCAGAGCCCCGTCCAACCTGACCTGGAATGTTTCCAGGGATGGGGCATCCACCACCTCTCTGGGCAACCTGGGCCAGTGTTTCACCACCCTCAGCGTAAAAAATGTCTTCCTTATATCTAGTCTAAACCTACCCCCCTTTAGTTTAAAGCCATTACCCCTTGTCCTGTCGCAACAGGCCCTGCTAAAAAGT